TGTCAATAGAGGGCGAACTGGATGTAGTACGAGCTTCTGCCGCTAGGGGGTGCGGCCTACATTCATAGTGAATCAGTGTGCGAGCCGGCATCATCGAATTAGCATTTGTTTCTTAGTTACGGGCGTTTTGGTAAATTGAAAATTCAGCTAAAGGGAAGGAGATTTGAGACGATAGAAGAGATTCAGGCAGAATCGCAGATGGTGCTTGACAGGCTGACAAAGAAAGATTTCCAGGGATGCTTCCAGGCTTGGCAGCGGCGCTGGGATCGTTGTGTTCACTCCCAGGGGAACTATTTCGAGGGTGATGGATGAATTTAATACCTGAGATAAGTGTACGGGTTTTTATACGCGCATTCTGGAAACCTTTCGATCGCATCTCGTATATGGTGTACCAATGAGGCATTCAACATTTCTGATGCACTGATTAAATGTCTGTAATTCACTAAGTTTTTTACAAGCAATTTGAATTTACAATATGCAATAAACCAAATATAACTACTACTCATTTGATATATCTCTTTAACTGAAAGTCTCATAATAAAAGAGTATTGATCATAATAGGTCTCACTGTAAATGCTGATGATCAGTACTGTTTTATTCAACCATGTTTGATATAGATTCAAATTACAAGACTTGTGGAAAAATTGTAAAACAAAACAAATAGATTTGCAAAAATTTAACACAGATCAAATTTAATTATCTATTTTTATGTACATGGAAGCAATGTATGTAAATACTTCTGAGCTTCATTTTACGAAGTTCGGAATCAAGGTAATGCTGCATATCTTTACAGCTGTATTTCACAAAGTATCTTATTTCTTCATATGCAAATTATTGCTTGTATCTTGTGTTACATGGCAGACATAATGCTTGTTTTCAATATATAAATGTACAGGTAGCCCTCGCTTTGCGCCGATTCAGAAGAACGCCGATTTTGAAACCAGCAAGTCATAAAGTGAAAAAAATTACCATTATTTATAACGTTTTACAATGTATCTCGTACTAATTCTTATACTAAATCGTAATTCTTAAATCGCTGATTTCTAATAAAAATTATAAACACAGTCATCTCTGCAATTACCTATGTTTAGTTAACGCGAATTTGCGCCAATGAAATCGAGGAATCGGTAAAAGCTATTTGTGGAATGCAGACTTTTGCATATTAGAGTTTGCTCTTATGCAATTTCATTCCTGGCGCTTTAAACTTTCAAAGGACTAATTTAATCTCTGCGGAGATACCGGGGTTATTTTTACTACGCGATTTTCTATAGGTCGGCGTCTTACAGGGATGCAACTATCGCATAACAGCAGAGATGACTGTACACATCGATCACATGAAAAAATCGCAGTCAATGGCGGGGACCAACGAATTGCCGATTGTAAGTGTATAAAATATATTTTTTAAATTCCCTTTATTTTATTTACGTTATTTCAGAGCTTCAAATGTAATGTCACTATATTACTCGTCAATGTTTTGGTGCTGGGAACGCATGTCATTGACTTCCCCTTTGATTAACATTATGAAGGAGTTTCAATTTGCGCCGATTCCGTTTACGACGGTTGGTCCAGGAACGCATCCCCGGCGTAAATCGAGGGCTACCTGTATTAGTACTAAAAGTGTATAATTCACTGTTACACATGCATGAGAACATGATTTTATACAATGAAAATACAAAATCACAACTGCATATTAAAAAAAGCTATTCTATAATGCACTATGTAGGCCCTTGCGGGGAGACTTATATAGATCCTACTAATTTTCAACCTCAACTCTAGATGGGGGTGACTGGTCAGAATCATGCCCTGGCCGTGCTTTACCACCAGGAAATGACCCCTGTTCCCTATGAATAGAAGGCTGGGTGTGCCCCAGAGCTGGTTTGAAAGCAGAGGCTAGAGAAAAAAATCCTCCGCCCTGTCAGGGAACGAACCACGGTCATCTAGTCTGTAGTCAGCCACTTTGACAATTTCCAGTATATTGACAAGTCTGTATAAAATTAGACCACTGAATGAATTCTGTGTGTAAAATAAGGTTCTTTATTGAATATGAGAACTAATGCCATCAGAAGTTCCTTTAAGCTTTCAAACATTTCCTTTTTAATAGATAAGAGTCCAACTCTTCATGCTGCAAGTTACAGAGATTTATCCTGAAATATTTATACATGATGATCAGTTTCAGATAACAACTCCATAATAAAATTCTTGAACAGTTTAGCCCTCTGCCACATCTTACATAACTGTGCAAAACAAAATTAAATACCTCATGTTACATATAAGTCTACAAATACACAGTGAGTGTAAAAATGGCCTTAAATAGTACAGACACTGTGAATTGAAGTTAAAAATGGTCACCTCTATACTATGTGTTCATTAATATAAAAGTCTTTTAAGATACATTCATGACAAATTTACATAACTAACACAGAAATCAAGCATGTTCATGGATAATCATTTTGCAAATGCAATCAAACTAACATTCACAATATGGTTGTATTAAAATTCTTACTTGGGATAGGCCAGTTAGTACAGTGACTAGCTATGGGCTGGAAGACTGGGGTTTTATCCCTGACGTGGGCAGAGGATTTTTCCTCTAGCCTCTGCATCCAGATCGGCTATAGGGCCCACCCAGCCTCCTATACAGTGGATACTGGGACCTTATCCTGGCGGTAAAGCGAAACAGGGGCATGATGATGACCACTTACCCCCATCTAGTGCCGAAGTTAAAAATGAGTAGGAGCTATACCTCCTCTTCCCCCCAAACGATATACATGGCATGTAGCGGGACTGCTTTACTTTTGCTTTATACTTGGCATCTGGACAGAACAGTCTAATAATCTACCTCCAGAGATGTGAAATGTCACATCCTCTTTCGCTTGTTAGTCTCATACCGTGTCTACACACATTGCCAGAATTCATTTAAAGTTCATAAGGTAGTATATTTGCGTCAGATTGTGAATTAAGTTAATATTTTAATATTTTCCGTCAAATCACAATTTTTAATAAGATGATAAAATATTTAAAATATCATTTCACGTTCCGCATCGAATGATCGATTTACAAATTGGAACGTTTTCTTACGACATGTTTCGGTTATATTTAACCGTCCTCAGGTATAAAATTAGATTGGTAAATTTTAAAACTGGAATTACAATCCTTTACAATGTTATGCAGTTTATTGAAGATGTTCTTATTAGATTACTCTTATATATTAGAACGAAGGTATTGTTTTTTATATGGCGATCATTTTGTTTTCTATATTACTCCATATTTATTAATGTTTTCTTTAAATCATTGCTTTACAGACTAATATTGAACATCAGATGAACCACGCCATATAAAAAACAATACCTTCGTTCTAATATATAAGAGTAATCTAATAAGAACATCTTCAATAAACTGCATAACATTGTAAAGGATTGTAATTCCAGTTTTAAAATTTACCAATCTAATTTTATACCTGAGGACGGTTAAATATAACCGAAACATGTCGTAAGAAAACGTTCCAATTTGTAAATCGATCATTCGATGCGGAACGTGAAATTATATTTTAAATATTTTATATTTTATCATCTTATTAAAAATTGTGATTTGACGGAAAATATTAAAATATTAAAATATTAAATTCATTTAAAGTTGTTGTGTAAACACGTGTAACACTTTAATGCACTTGTATGTAGTGAGAAAGCCATAAAGTAATCTTGTAAAGCTCAATTAAATAATGAAATACAACAGGCATTGCAGCTTTTTCCCTAAACTAAATATTCCTTCAACATTGCCTTTACATGCTTAACAGTTGCTTCAAGAATTACATAGCATGAGAACATTTTTTTTTTGTTCATAATACATTAACAAGAAGTTGCATTCCCTCTTGAAAATGTGATGAGTATACATAAGTTCTGAGAAACATTTCAATGAAGCAACTGTGTCACAAGAAAATATTTTATTAGTACTTTCCAATTTTAAATTTTATAAGTGTCCAAAATAAATGAAGATTCACCTCTTCATACACCACAATTTCTTCTGAAGTAGAAAACCAACATCCTTACTTCTTACCTCTAACATAACTAGTTCACCTATGATCAACAAAGCAACATTATCTACAGACTTAAAGCTGTGTAACAAATTTCTGTACAATACCTGAAAAATGTGGATCTGGCTCATTAAGAGTGAGTGCTAAGCTTGGGTACTTCAGTGGGTGACAGGATATATCTGATCCAATGGAAATTGACTCTGTGGATACATGAACTTCACCTGTCAAAATGAAAGTACTGCACTAGAATATTAGTTGCTGTGAAGGTAACAGGTTTGTAAGGGTACTGATAGGAGGAAAGTGGGACAAAAATTATGTGCGTAACTTATTTACATTATCAGTCCATTCTGAGTACCATAAAACTGAGAAAATGTAAATATAGAAAGATGGAATAATAATGTAAATAATTAAACAAAGTGAAATAAACAGTGTCTTCATTGGTGAGAAAAATGTTACATCTTTGATACAAATGACAATTCCTATTGCTGTGAAATAATATATTTATCAGCTGGTCCGAACAAAATTGCAGTGTTTTTAACACGGGGCAGTGGAGTGCAATATGGACAGTCACAACAGACAATGATGATGAAAGAGACATTGCAGGTAATCAAAAATTTCAGTCAAGATATCCAAATGGAGTTAGGGTTTGATAAATTTTTAAAAGTGGTATTTAGATGAAGATGATTTTTTCTTTCTGGTACCAATTAACAGATGATGAAACAGAAGTACAACAGATTGAACAATAAATTATATACATAATTGGGAGCTGAGAAAAGAGTGTTCAAATTATATGTTGAAGCAGAAATTAAAAATAAATTCATAGGAAGACTGAGATTGATCTTAAAAATTAACTGAATTCCAAGAATAAAATAATGGTAGCAGGAACATTAGCAGTACTAGTACTATGGTGTAACTTAGGAATGTTCTTAGAATCAGAAGTAAATACCAAATTGAAGTCCTTTATAAATATTTTCTTTCCTATATTGATATGGTATTCACATTAAAATTAGTTAATTCAAGGGAACCCCAAGAAATAGTTAGATTGTAGCTAAGCACTGTATATGGCATATACAAATAAGTTAGCTCATAATTACTATGTTTTGTTAAAATCTGGTAATTTCCCAGATAAGTTAAAATTGGCTAGAGAGTGAAACCTCTTTACAAAAATAGAGAAAAAGTAACATATGAAATTACAGACAAACATCTAAATTTTCAATTGTTTATTTTTTTTAAATAAACTAATATACAACAGATTAATTAAATATTAAATCTGAAGGTTTATGATGATCATATATTGTTAAAACAATTAACTCTCTGGATATCAGCCATCATCTTGATTCTTGATAGGTCTGGAGATAGGAACTAGTTCTATCAATTTGGCCCAGCAGAGTAGGTTTCAATCTGAGAATGGAGACAGAGTCCAGTTTCTGAAATGTCATATTTTAACAAAAATCAAGACAATGGATAATGTCCAGAGAGTTTGTTATTTAGTAAATGTTGTTCATGATACAATTGTTAAGGAAGTAATGAGTCTGAATGCAATGAGAAGCATCTATTTTGCATATTTTCACACCCATTTCAGGTATGGTGTAATTTTCTGGAATGAGAGTACTGAAAGTTAGAGCATTTGAAAACTGCAAACACAAGTTGTTTGAATAATCAGTAGGGTGGGAAGATATATTTCATGAACACTAATCAAAGATTTACATATATTCCCAGTAGCCTGTTTATGTATATTTTAAATATCGTGTTATACAAAAACAAACATAGAGAAGTTGGAACAAAATACAGACTTTCACAGTCATAATACATGTCAAAAGTTGAATCATTTAAAGATTTGTAAGATAACTGTTTATAGGGGTAGCGTTGTCAATACAGTAATCAAATTGTTCAAGAACTTACCAAAACTGGAAAAAATTCAAAATTTCAGGAGGAATCTATCGCCCCATACATTCTACGCAGTAGATGAATAAATGGCCCACACTTCATTAAATATGTTGCCAGACTGTGTATGTGTTTCTATGGGAAAAGTTATTGTAATGTGATACTTCCTGTTACATTTTAGTTTTAGCAGAGATTTTACATATGGGGGAAAGTGCTGTACCTTGGGTCGGTTGTACCTCGGGACATTAGCTATTGCTCTGATATCTATAAACAGGTATGTAAAATATTACTACCTAATTTAACATTTGTCCACCCTGAGCAGTGTGTGTTAGTGTCTTTGTTTGGTGTGAGGTTATTTAATGATTAAACTGCATTGAAAGTTGAAACTATTTAAAGTATTTTCTAAAGAAATTTCTTATGCGTTTTTGTATGAGAGTGTTTTCATACCCTGTACAGTTTATGGCATAGGTAAGACCTACTTTTTATGCTCTTTCATATGACATAAATAGCACTGTTCAACAGCCAAAATATATCGGAGACGAAACTAACCAATTTTTACTAATTTTGAGTTGCTAACACGAAAATGACATTCATTTTCCATGATTGGTTCGCATTTCGAAGATATTCATACCAAGCTGTTTCGCTCAATTTTCGTAATTTTCAGAATTGTAATGGACTACTTACTTCAGAAACAGCCTGTACAAGGGTGGAGAAGGTTTTATTGCTTCCAGCAGGTCTACTTAACATCCCTAAGGGATGTTTAATAAATTGGTTCAGTTGTCCTTGTGGTTCTGTTTGGCAAACAAGTGCTTTGTGGAGTGCGGATTTTGTGCTTCACTTCGTCTTAAGGTGGCGACTGACTTGTAACATTTGCCTGTAATGTAACGTGTTACAAATCGAGCATTACACAAGTGAAGACAGCGAACGGAGCTCCATCGTGTTGTCGGTTTTTTCGCGAATCCCTTTGAGTGTTACATTACAAGTCAGTCAGTCAGTCGAGCGGCGTCGTAACGAGCAATCACGAGTTCTTTAGATAACAGTAGCGTATTAAATGAAACAAAGATAACACAACCTCCACGTCCGACATATTGAATGAAATGAATGGAGCACACATGAGCACAGTCGAGCCGAGCGTTCAAAACGAGCATTCGATACGCCTCACCAGTTGTGGTGTAATGTAACATGCTCGCCGCGAATGTTACATTACGAGTAAATGTTACAAGTCAGTCGCCACCTTTAGAATACTTATGCAGTAAACAGCAAAAACGTCGTTGTGAGTACTTCAATGAGATATTTGTAACACTAAAACATACAAAATTTCGCGTAGATGTGTCAATAATCCTAACAACTTTTGTTACATCCGTGGAGAAGTGACTTTTAAATCACTAAAACGAAACTTAACCCTCCATCGTTAAGAAAGCGTGCCACCTTTATTTTGGTTGCAAAGTGGGTGACATGGACAGGGCATGGGCACCCCATATTTGCTGTCTGAAGTGTTCTACAAATCTACGTGAGTGGCTAAAAGGAAAAATGCAGTCTATGCCCTTCGTTGTGCCCATGGTGTGGCGGGAACCGCATAATCATATAAACGACTGCTACCTCTGTATGATTCCTCCTGTCATCGGCATAAACAATAAGAAAAAACATGCTTTGATCTATCCAAACATCTCCTCAGCCATTCGTCCTATACCCCACAACCATGAACTACCTGTACCTGTCCCTCCTATCTCCTACACAGCTGATTACGGCGAACAATGCTCACCATCACCACCATCAGATGACGCCATTCCAAGATCATCAGCATCTCAAGATAAAGAGTTTGTGCCAGAAACGTTACCTTCTACATCTCACAGAGTAACTCAAAGAAAACTGAATGATCTAGTGAGAGATTTAGACTTGCCTAAGTATAAGGCAGAGTTGCTAGGATCGCGACTTAGACAATGGAATGTACTTGAAGAAAATGTTAAAATATCCTGTTATCGCGTTCGTCAGATTCATTTACAAAAAAAATTTTCCATGCAAGATGATCTCGTATTTTGTGATGACGTAGATGATCTTATGGATGCCCTCCATAAAGAACATAACCAAAATGAGTGGCCCCTTTTTATAGATTCCTCAAGAGTCATCTTGAAAGCAGTATTATTGCACAATGGCAATAAATTACCCAGTATTCCTATAGCTCATGCGGTTCATATGAAAGAGACATACGATAACATTAAACAATTAATTAACAGGGTGAATTATGACAAATATAAGTGGTGTATATGTGCAGATTTAAAAGTGGTGGCTGTCATACTAGGCCTTCAGCAGGGTTACACAAAATATTGCTGCTTCCTGTGTGAGTGGGACAGTCGTGCAAGGAATATATACATTATGAAACTAAACAGTGGCCCCTTCGACAGAACTTGGAACAGGTACTAAGAATATTGTCCGTGAACCACTGGTAGATCAAAGACAAATAATACTGCCAGAATTGCACATTAAATTGGGTCTGATGAAAACTTTTGTAAAAGGAATGGACCGAAATGGAGAAGCCTTTAGGTACCTCTTTCACAAATTTCCCCGTCGAAGTGAAGCTAAAATCAAAGAAGTAGTTTTCATAGGTCCGCAAATAAGAAACCTGATTGTTGATGAACATTTTGTTGAAATTTTGACGGGAGAGGAGAAAATTGCATGGGAATCCTTCAAGTCAGTTAGGAATTTTCTTGGAAACAACAGGGCGCCAAACTATAGGAAATTAGTAGACAAATTGTTGAAAGCATACTGTAAAATGGGGTGCAATATGTCTCTTAAAATGCATTTCACACACAATGCACACTTGGACTATCTCCCTGATAATCTTGGATCGGTTAGTGATGAACATGGCGAACGACTTCACCAAGATATTTCTACTCTTGAAAGGCGTTATCAGGGGAAATGGAGCGCATCAATGATAGCTGATTACTGCTGGTCGGTGGTAAGAGATACCCCTGAGGTATAATACAGAAGAAACGCCATAGAACAACGTCTATAAGGTAGGTGAAAATTTTTAAACATTTGCATATCATATGGACGAATTTATTGATGATATTTCACAAAGTACAAAATATCTTCAAAACGCGAACTAACTAAGCTTCTTTATTGTCATTTTCGAATTTCGCGGACGAAAATACATAAGAATTGATTAGTTTCATTTCCGATATATACAACTCATTAAAATTTGTTGTAGTTTGCCACTTAACCGAAAATAGGTGCGAAATTTGTGTTGTGATCTCTTTTTCTATTTGTTGCTGTACCTTGGGCCATCATGGTATGTTGTACCTTGGACCATGACCCAAGGTACAACACAATGCATTCA